GGGATATGCGCTATACAAATGCTATCTATTATCATTATTATTATTTTAAAAATATTTTCTAAAAAAATATGACACGTGAATAACAATAATTTTGGAGTAAAAAGCTTTTCTGAGGAAGAATCAGGAGTCTAATTTTTCATAAATCCATGGAAACATTTTATTTCTGACAGCTGTAACAGAGTTCAGGACTGATCCGACTTCTCTTGACTTAAATATGTAAAACTAAGACTTGACTTTTCGATCCCAACCTTCCCTGAAAGTCCAGCCCTCAAAAACAAACAGTCCAACAAAACAATATACATGAAAATGTCAAACCTCTTGAGACTTTCCGACTGGTACCATTGTGAGAATTGAGTTGTCAGCAATCTGATAATCGTCAAAGGTGAAAGCATCACGGAGAATCTGACCCTTGTGGCGGAGGCGAAATGTGTGATCATCTTTGCCAAGCTCGTACAAAGTGTGAAGTAACTGGGCTCGAACTCGTGCCACAGAGTCTCCAGGCTGAGCTGTTGTGACAAATGTTTTGTGCTGAAGAAGAAACATAAATAACCATAAAATATAATCACTGTTACTAAACTATATAATATATCAGAAAAAAATAATACAGTTTGAGAAAGGACTTGACTTGTTGGCACACTTAAATTTGACTACTCACTTGGGCACATGCTTTAAGAGGCATGTATTTTGAGAGTTATGAATATATTCAAGTAGCATCATGTAAAGAAATTTATCAGAGCCCTTAACATGTAAAAAAGCATATAAGTAAACCTTCATATTTTTTTCTGAATAGATTTTACCGCATCCTAATATAGGCCTTGCTTTTTAAATTAGGCCCCTGGTCGGGCCTATAGAAAAATAAAAAATTGACACAATATCAGGCTGAAGGGCCGCCAGAAAATGAATTTATGGAATAGAGCATTGAGCTAAAGACTAGATGACAACTATATGTTGTCCTATTGACCTCACTTGGCCGTGACAGTTTTTGTGTCAAACTTGTTTTTCCATAGCCATTCCTAGTCTGTAGCCTACCCCAAAGGAAGTGGCTATCCTCACACGGGGTGAGGATAAAAATATGATTGACCTTCTCTCACCCCGGGTGAGACTTGCCAGCGTTGGCTATTCTCACCCAGTGTGAAACAAGACCTGTTTTTCCTAATTTCGGAAAACTGTCTATCGATTTGGATGATCAAATTATTGACAAAAGCAAAGAAAAAATGGCGTTATAGCACAAAAGTAAGCTAATTTGGTCGTCTACAAAAATGCTACGGCTATTTAACTTTTCAAATCAAGCCGAACTACGCCGGTCACCATTTTGGTTTGCCAGAAAGTTCTCGCAAGTTCTCCTCCACCTCTCTCCCTCTCTCCGTCTCTTTCTGAATACTGTCTCGGTGTGGACGATCAAATTGACAAAAACAAAGATAAAAAATGATGTTATAACACAAAATTAAATTAATTGGTCGTCTACAAAGATGCTACGGCTATTTAACTTTTTGAATCAAGCCGAACTACGCGGACGCCATTTTGTTTTGCGAGGAAGTTCTCGCGCTACTCCTCTCTCTCCTCCGGACCCTACCCCCCCCTCTCTCTTGTACTTTAACTCACTGCCTACAGAAAAAATTGCACGCTTTCAACACAAGGGCGCTTGAACGTTTGTTCATGGTGAACGCTATCACTGGTTGGCCTAGGCTGTCACAGTGAACGCACACCGGGTGAGAATAGCCAAAAGGCCTGCATGCGCTATTCTCAGGGTGAGAATAGAGGTGGCCTACCCCAAAAGAAAACAAATGTACGTGCTTCCTAATTTCTAAAAATCTACAGCACAAAATAAGACTAACATATAGTCTAACTGTCGAGAGAACTAAAGGGAAAGATCGGGGGCAGGGGCAAAATCTATAGGCCTACTGGGGTCCCCAGGTCGGGTGATTTAATTTGAGTGAGGAAGTAGATGATAGATCACACTAATAATTAGTACAGGGAAACCAAATGGAGCCCCCATAGCTGTAAACGTACCGGGAACGCTTTATTCTTCACGTAGATAATCATGTTGAAAAGTTAGGAGAATAAAAAGCTAGGATATATAGATGTGCATGTGCTCGTAGCAACTCTAGCTAGCAAAGAAATATTCAGCTCCACAGCACACAGTCCGCCATGTTGTTGACATAAATACCAAGGTAAAGAACAAGCTATTACTTTGCCAGTTTTTCTTGCGCGTGAAAGCAACCATTTTATGCAGACCCAACGTGTGAGACAGTTGGATTTTAGTGCTTGGATGTATTAACAATAAAAACAAACATTTATTTGTCATTGAGCATATGAATTAAAATCCCATATAGACTTGAAGCCAAGTTTTTGTCAATATAAGTAAATAATCTAAAAAGGAGATAACTCTGTCTTCAGACCACATCTACGTTACAGCCTATCTGATTTAACAAAGTTGTGCCTGCCCCATGCAACACACATTGTGAACTATTAAACTATTCTCTGTTATAATATTCCCATTCCTTTGATCTATTACGATTCTCTCCTTTTCATTTTACACATATTCTTCATTAATGGTTGAATACGGTAGTAGGCTTACATAATGTTACAACATGGATTTCCATGACGTAGGCCTATAATTGTATCCTGTCTGAATGAAAGAAATATATACGACATCCTAATCATATGATCATGGTGATGGTAGGTGACTTTGACAAGAGAAAATATTGAAAACATTTGAGACATGTTGATAATAATTAAGCTACAACTTCCATTCCCAACATCGAATTATATAATCTTGATATACAGACAAGTTGCCAAGCAGGCATATTGACATGAGCTACCTTGTTTATTATGCTTCTCCTGTCCCATTGCCACATTGGTTATCATCAATATTACGGTTTTCTTCTTCTTCTTCTTCTTCTTCTTCTTCTTCTTCTTCTTCTTCTTCTTCTTCTTCTTGTTTTTCTTCTTCTTCTTCTTCTTCTTCTTTTTCTTCTTCTTCTTCTTCTTTTTCTTCTTCTTCTTCTTCTTCTTCTTTTTTATGATTATTATAATTTATTTTATGATTATTGTTCTTATGATGATGATTTTATGCCTTATAACTCCAATTAAGGTTGAAGTCTTCAACTTTTTTTCGTTTTGTTCTTATCGTATAAATACAACAATATTATGAACTACAGCTTGCTTACAGCAAAATCCATGATGATGATGATTTGTGTAAATCACTATATATTATGATGAAAATTTTCTTAAATAGCTCTTGCTTAGTCGCGTAAAAAAGCACTTCAATAATATGCATATTTTTTAATGTGCGTCTGCAACTGCTCGTATGGGATGGGTCATGATTATTTATTTATTTATTTATTTATTTATTTATTTATTTATTTATTAAATTTCATTAACTCTTTTTATTGCTGGTAGCTTTCACACGGTTGCCCAAGTTGGTTTCTGTCGGTGTTTGTTATTTTTATTGATGCGGTGAGAGCAAAGATTATCCTCGACTCGTGTGGAGAATCTTTGGTGAGAGGATATTCTATGCAAGGGACTGAACCAAAATGAGAGGTACGCATTTTGCCAACAACTAGTTACATCCCGTGAAATGACCCCGGCATCTGTAAAAATAATTCTAACTGAACTCTTACAAGTCGTAAGTCTATTCCCCGCTTTGTCGCAACAACAAATGTGTTATGTTTACCTAATCATATTCAGTATAAAAATAAAGGTTTCAAAATATGATAAGTATGAATTGATATACCAACTACAATTCTTAGAAAAGAAGAATTACATTTATGTAATTGTTTAGTAAGGTATAATGAGAACACAGTTGTGCAGTAAAGCAGATGGTATGGTTTTTGTTTGTTTGTTTGTTTGTTTTTATTTTGCTTTTATTTTATTTTGTTTTTATTTTATTTTATTAAAATTTATTTTGGGGTGAATTTTTTTTCTTTTTTTTTAATTAAAAAAAAAAACCAACATCATCTTAGTTAGCATTTCTAAGAGTTATTGATTATTGTCTGTTTGCGTAGGCGACATTGATTTCTAAGCCTCCACTTTGTTTGCGGTAGGTCTGACCTGAGACTTAGTTATGAAATAACAATAATATATAATATTTATATAGCGCATTTCCAAAAAAAGTAGCTCAATGCGCTTTACATTTACCCATTTTTCAAAAACCTTTCTTACTGCTTCCTTTCTTCTCATGCAATATACATTAATGCACACACACACACACACACACACACACACACACACACACACACACACACACACACACACACACACACACACACACACACACACACACACACACACACACACACACACACACACACACACAGACTATTTTCATATCACACATAGGAACAGAACAACTATAATGAAAGATAACGTTAAAAGCTTATGAAGGATAGGCCTGTAGGAACAGAAAATGTCTTTTGAAGCTATCGAGTGTTTTTATTTGTCTAAGTTTCATTGGTAATCTGTTCCACATAAAAGGACCAAGATATGAGAAAGATCTCCCTCCATAATATGATTTGTATGATTTTACAGGTGCCACAAGTAGGGTGTTATCGTTTGATGATCTTAGGTTTCTCCCTGGTTTATATATACTGATAAGTTCTTGTAGATATAAAAGAGCAGTTTTATTTACACATTTGAAACACATGACGCATATTTTAAATATCATTCTTTCTTTTACAGGGAGCCAATGCAGTTATTTTAATAATGGAGTGACATGGTCTCATTTTTTAGACCTTGTTATCAGTCTAGCGGCATTGTTTTGAATTACTTGTAAACGATTCAAAATATTTGTTGTTCAGACCTGCTAGGAGTGAGTTACAATAGTCTAATCTAGATAGGATAAGAGATGTTAACAGTGTTTTTGTGGTCTCTTTGTATTGGGGTTTACAATTTTAAGCATAAGGCCTACTATACTGTATACTGTTATACGCCTTCAGGCAAGGGCTTTGAGTCCCACGAAAGAGATTAGTTGTGAAATCAAATGCAAAGTTATGTCAGAGATCCAGTTTTCTCTACTGAGCTACGCAACGTCAGAAAATTAATGAACTTTTCGGTCACACATTAGAGCACAGATGCTTCTTTGTTTCGATCATTCCGAGCATGTTTCTCAAGCTTATGTCCGGATTATGAGATAAGCCTTTGGTGTTTCCGCGCGCGGGCGTACTCGGTAGGGATAAATATTTCATTTGGGAGACAGATCAAGATCTAGGCGAGAGCAGTAAGTGAGGCAGCTCTGGGAGACCTCTGAAGGTGTTAGCGACAAGAAGAATGGGCATTAAGGTCTTGTTTTGACAGAGATTAACCATTGAGAGACAAAACGAGTAATATATTAGTTGCAGTAAAGAGTGCTGACCTCTTTTCTTTTTCTTTAATGCGATGAGATATTTCCTGTCGTTTATGGGCATTTCCCATATCCTCAAAAGTCACAGACTTATTAGCTCACACGTTTTTTCCATTAAAAAAAATTATTTCTCCTTTCCTGCACCCCTTTCCCCACAAAAAACAGCCCCAAAACAGCCCCCCCCCCCCCCAAAAAACAACAACAACCAAACAACAACAACAAAATAACAACAACCAACAAACAAACAAACAAACAAAAACCAACAACAACAATAACAAAAAAAACAACAACAAACAAACAAAGTAAAGAACAAACCAAAAAAAAAAAAGAAAGAAAGAAAAGACCTAACCAAACAAACAAAACCATGCATGCATAATATGCCCGACTCGCCACTGTCACATCTTTTCTCCCGACACATTCCAACAACTGTTTCTGTTTGATTTCAAAGTTTATTTCAACGTTGTAGGATCAATAAATGAGGCGGAACTGCTTTAAAAAAATATAATTTCTTTCTTTTTTTTTCCAATTCTAATATCGAAATTAACATTTTTCTTCATGTCCCTCTTTCTGCCCTCCTTTTGAGGAGTTTTACAAACCAGTCTATTCTTTGATGATGTTGAGCCAATCTTTCCTTTGCCGTCTTCTTATTCGATTACCTTAAACAGTAGCGAAAGGGGCTCTCGTGGCCTAGAGGTTAAGGTGTTCGCCTCAAATTCAAAGATCCCGGGTTCGAATTCGGGTAGTGACCAAAACATTTTCTGCTCTAAAATTGTCTCCTTTCACCTCTGCTCTTGCTATCTAGCAATGTTCTGTCGTCTGCTTTCGTGTCCACTTTCTGCCCCACCCCCTCACCTTTTTTGCCCCCTCCTCTGGGCTCCTGACTCTTTTGCAGCCTTTCTACTACTATTCCTTTGCTCCTTCTTACTGCTGTCTTTCAGCCACACCCCTGATCTTCTGGTGGGAAAGATCTACACCTAGCCTTCTTGGACAAGGGCGAAAAATCTCGGAGGGCCCGTGTTCAAGTTGTGCACGTTAAAGATCCCTTGGTGGTCTAAAATGGATAAAAGTAGACTTTGGCCGCCACCGGGGCAAAATACAAAATTTCCCACATACTGAAAAATGTGTCCCGCGCGACCATATGACCTTATGTAGTTGCAAGCGCCGTAAACACTTACCAAGCAAACAAAAACAGCAGAGGAGATGACTCCGACAGCAGCCTACCCTTCATAATAGTTTTGCAAGGCTTCCATGTCGGGTAGCGTGCCCAAACAAGGCATTAAGCTTTCTCGTTTTTACCCAAACCTAACTAGTAGTGGTCCTTTTGGTTCAACTTTATTTTCAGTTGTTATCTGCCATCAATAATCCTCTTCTATTTTCTACTATAACTAGTTAACTAGTAATCTTCTTAAATTTTTAATCTCAAAGGATTTGACCTTTCTTTCGGTTTCAACTATAATAATATTATTAGGTAGTGTTTGGGCTTCGTGGCTACAGAAAGATGGAAAGGGCAAGTGAAGGATTTGTACAGCCTGAATCTGATCTGGAAGCAGATCCTGGTGTTGTTCCCGATTTTGTAGTTTTGGACATGGCAGCTGTTGCTGATATTTTTCTGGCCCTAACTTTATATGACGATATTCCATCTTTTATTAATAACGAACCAAGATTTAAATATTCGAATTCATAAACTTCAGCAAACAAGAAGAGTAAAATAACAACACAACAACAAAAATAGCAACAACTACAGTAAATTATCACTTACTTCTTGGATTTAGCCCCTATAGTGCCCCCGCCCCACACACTAACGCACACACATAATAATATATAAACTCGCGCATGAAAAAGGTCACTAGTGTCAGTGAACTGTTATGCACAACTTGCTTTAAGTGAATTTTACATAATTTTACCGTATCATCGACAAGCTACGTCGAACCTTTCTAGCTGAACCAACCTGTTCAGTGTTGAATAATAAATTCCCACAGCAAGACAAGGACACAGTACACTCCCCTCCCTTTCACCCTCCAACCAACCGATCTACCCTTTTCTCCTTTTTGTTTCTTCCCAGAAACCGAACTCTAGTCCTTGGTATGCGAGACGAAGAGCCTTCTTAAACTATTTGATAAAAGAAAATAATTCGTTAAGTTACGAACCATTAATTGCTATGATGATATCTTTTTAAATAAAGAAAATTTGAGCAATTTCAGTTCGGAACCTACTTTAATAATTTCTACACCACCCATTTTCTGTGGGGTCACATACAATTGTGAGTCGTCGAGACGTCGGGTATAAGTTGTTACCCTTTGAATTTATTATAAAACTGGCTAGGCCTCCTTTCGTTGAAAGGAATGATCGGTGCATTAACATCAACTGAAAGTCATTGGCCTACTATATTTACACTCCACTGGAATGGAGCAATAAATCCTGAGAGATGCAAAAAAATTGGAAGGGTTGGATATAGTGATGTATAGATCTAGATTTATTCTCTATTCCGCTTTCGTGGTTGTACACTCCAGAATTTCAGAACTGCACACGGCTAATGAACGGAAACCTCACTTATTTACAATGGCGTCTTAGAAGATGGACTTTCCCAAGATTAGATCTAAACGAAACTAATGAAAAACTGAAAACTAAACTACAGTGACTTCAGGCTCCTCAATAGAACTGTGCACTCTTTATATGATTCTGGACCACAATTAATTTTGCCAACTTCGAAAGTTAAGTGGTTCCGAAGTTTTAGGCGGCCAAAGTGACGAACTTTCACAAGTATAATATGTATAGATATAAGAATGGGAGAGGGGAAAACGGGGAAAGGGAGGAGGGGTGTATGGGCGGGGGGTGGAGGGGGGGGGGATGGCAGGCTCAAATTGATCTTTACCCTCTTTGGCTCTTCAGAGCAGCTGAGTGTCGTGTCCTGATTGCTGGCCGGCAACGTGATCTGTTTTGTAAACGAGAACAACGTCCTCTTTTGAAACAAAGCTACTTTTATAAAACTATTCGAACTATCAAGTATCTCTTTCAGTAATCACAAAGGATTTATGAGACTTCCAGTCCTTCTTTTCCTACAGCGGAAACGAGTCGTCAGACCACATTATCGTTGAAAGGGCTAGTTAAGATCTTATTAGAATCGTTTTCCGAAGCGGCAACCCATTGTGGAGGGGGAAAGGGGTTGGTTTAGACAGTCTTGGACAGTGTCATTACACACTGTAATATTAAAAGTACGGGGTGTGGGTTGGGGGGGGGGGGGTAGATGACTGTCTGTAATGGAGATTGTCTTAAACGTATGATCATAGTTGAGAGTCTACTCTTTATCCCCGCCCCACTGTCACATGTATTCTTATTTATTTATACTCGCACCAAAAGTTACAATTTGGAAAAACAAATATGGAGTTCAACTGTACTCAAGAAAATGGTAGTATGAAGTTGGAAGGACACAAACCCAAGATTGAAAGCTAAGGCTAGATGATGCTTCACTCTCCTAAAACAAAACCAAAAACAAAAACAAAAACAAAAACAAAAACAAAAACCCATCCAAAACATAAAAAAGGAAAAAAAGGAAAGTACTTGACAAAGCACACGTTAGGTTGTAGATGTCTCCACCAGCGCCGATAAAGGTAATATTCAGGTTATCTTTTTTTCCTACAGAAGTTCATTTAGGACAAGCTTTGCTTCTCCTCTTTGCGTACAAGATACGCTACTTCCTAAAAACTGTATCAAATTCATGGAATATCAATGATGTGGCTAAGGGCGATTTGAGGGATTTTTTAAAATGTTCGTTTTGATTTATTTTGTTTTTACTTCTTTTCTTTTTTGTTCTGGGTTCCATAAACAAAACCCGAGAATGATCGATCTCGCAATGTATTATGTATAATTATTATATTATTATCTTCTTGGGAAAACTCAGGAAAGCTGAACAAAAAATTAGAGTGAAGACGAGTACATGAAGACTTAGATCTAGTACGGCGTCGTTGGTTTAGTGGTTATCGAAATCTCAATAGTTAGGTCGTAGGTTCGAATTCCGTCAGGAGTGCGTTTCTGTTTCAGTTGCCTACCTTTATTGCAGCCCTTCATTTTTTAAATATATAAATAGAGCTATTACTTCAGCTATAGCTATGTTTGTACTTTATGCCATTTAGTCATGTCACAGCCGTTTGTTTCAATTTGAAATACACTTTGAAAAAGCGAGTATAGGCTATATGGGGTAACAATGGAATGATGGGTATCATCATCATCATTGCCTTTCTCACCCTGGATCAGGATATAGGCCACGAACAAACACCTTCCACCTTTCCCTATCCTGGGCTAGTCGCTTGATGTCACTCCACGTCTTCCCCTGCTTCATACATGGTGGGAACATTCCACGACGCAATCCGGAGAGACTTTTTCGACAGAGAAGGTTTCGGGTCCTTTCGGCTTTGTACGCTGCCCTTCATTGTTACTGCTGTTGCAAAAGCTCCTCCGTCTCCCAAGATGGAAAATATAAGGCGTGTTTGTTCGTTTTTCTATAACTTTCCTTTTTAACTGGGTCGGGTAGTTGGCCCTCCGCAAACTGGCACTTTTCGAGTGGCCAGACCTATGCACCTTTAGTGACCTCTTACGACATGCATTATCACAGCAGGTGTATTCTTCACTCCCCCATAGTAAAACTATGGGACTCCCACCTGCAGGGGCGAATGATGGGTATGCAGTGAGTTAAAGCAATCGTACAAGAAAAGAACGACAGTGGTCCACACGAGCACGTGGAAGAATTAAGGCAGCAGTCCTGAATATCTTACTTGTGACTAATGCTGTTTTTCGCGACTGAGGTCGTCAAGTGTACCCAGCTAGCTATTCACACTCGCTGTGTTGAGGGAACGTCTATCCCTTTCTCGAACTCCGATGTCTTCACCGAGAAGACAGTCAGGTGGGGGGCTGTGTTGAAATAGCCTTAATCGGGCCATGAATTTTATTGTTTAATCCCCCCCCCTCCCCCAGAAAAAATCTCTAGACCCAAAAGCTGAACGTTCTTTTTAATAAACCAAACCAAACCAAACAAAACACGTCTAAACAGAAATAGACATGGGAAGGAGCAAACAAACAAACAAACACGACTACGGAGCTATTCGAAAGAGAGGGAAACAGAAGAAAAAAAACTCGGCAAAAAACGTATTAGCGGAGGAATGTGCCGAGAGCGAGAAAGACCTCACTAAACGGAAGTGACGTCAGGTTTTATTCCCTTTTTCGCCTCCGGGGCTGAACCCAGCGCTACGAAGCCGCACAAATTCCGGGGTCACCAGCACAGGAATTCAGAGGAGAAATCTCCCACGAGTGGCGGGCCGGCACGAAGTCCAGTCCGTCTCCGTCTCTGGACGATCTTGTAGGGCTTCGCTGCCTTCCGGCTACCGCTCCCATCTCTCCCCGTGTACTCCAAGCTCAGCGGCGTGGCCCCAGCTCAGAATAAGACTTGGTGCGACACGTTAAGTTTGCTCATCTCTAGTCTAGTCTAGTCTAGTCTAGTATCGCTACCTTAAAATTACAACGTTCTATCTGCTCAGTAGATATCTACTTATTTTTGAGAAATCTGACGTCAAAGATGTTGGGTTTCGCAACATGTCAAGCTTTTTCGAATGCATTTCTTTGAATTATCTTGATGACGGCGCCGAATAATCTTACGGTTTTGACAGAGCAGCAGACAGAAAATCAAAATTTGGTTTTTACCTCATGGTCATAGTAACCCAAAGGGCCAGAAATGCCTCTCAGAACTTTGTAATTCTAAGTGTAGCAGCAGCACACGTCGTGTTCGATTATGTCCTTTTGGTCAAATATTATATTCTAGCCATTGGGGGTAAACTCAAAGACTTGTGTTACAATAACCTAGACCCTGCTCTCTGACGTGTTTCTGGTTTACTGTGGAGCACACCATTTTGGAGCCGAATGACGTGCAAGGGGCAGAGGTACCCCAAGCAGATAGCTTTAGCGAGACTGATGCTTTGCCATTCGTTTTGGGTGTTGTTGTTTGCTCCCGTAGTGTGCACGCTTTGCAACGAAGTTTTGATTAGCAGTTGAGGGCGAAAAGCCTCATTCATGGTAGTACACGGTTTAGATTATTATAATTCAAAGTGTACGGTTACACAATTTAAAAAAAATTGTAATGAATTTGAACTAATTTTGGTGTGTCAATTGGACCTCGAAGCCCACAGGCTTCTATTTCAAATTAATTAAGTCAAGGTAACCCAAATTTTCTCGGTTGCCGTGAGTGTTTTGTATGCCTCCTTTGACACAATTTAGATCATTCAGGAGGCGGGATTTGACCCTATCTGTCAGAGTCAACCCCGGCTGAGAGGGGATCGATAACCCGAGAGAAAGACAGAGATATTCGATAAACATTCTCCCCACTCGGTCACGAACTCAGGTCTTGCGAGTGACACCGAAAGCGCCCAGCCGTTACATCACAGTATCATAGACGCCGATATAGAGAAAGGAGACAACTTTAAGTCGCTACATTCGAATTACAAAGCTCTATATTATTATGCTGGGTACCTAGTTTTGATAATTTTGACGTCAAAGAATTTGAGTTTCACATCATGTCAAGCTTTTTCAAATGCAGGTCTTTGCATATCTTGATAACTACTCAGAATAATCTTACGATTTTGATATAATAGATAGATAATTCTGAGGTAGCGAAGTGTCTACGCATTCCTCATGCACTTTCAAAATGTGTTGTTAGTAGATCCTTGACTTTCCGACCTAAATTAAGATGATTTTAAGGCTTTCCTTGCCATGTGACCCTAAATGGCAGTAGACAAAATGACGGAAAGACAAAGAACATTAATCGACTGCTTTTGTCTATTTTTATCGTGCAGTGTTATATAACAATCTTTTTAGCGTGGGTATGTCCTGTTGAAACAACCATAATCGTTTACAAAACCACATTGTGCAGAGACTAGTAACATAATATAAGTCTACCAAGGACGCTTTTTCTAGTCCCCATTCTTCAGCTCTAACATGAACGGCTTTACTCTCGTTCTTTTTTTTTTTCTTTTCTTTTTTTTTCTCTTTTTTTCGTTGTCATAAAAAGGTCTTCCTTAATGCTGATCTAGGAAACCTGCTCAAACTCAAAGCAATCATTTTCACACTTTCACATTCGATGAATAGCGAAGAATTGTTTTTGATGGTGAGTGTTTATGTGCGTGAGAGTGTGGGAGAAAGAGTGTTGGTATGTGTGTGTATGTGTATGCTTGTGTGTGTATGCTTGTGTGTGTATGCTTATGTGTGTGTGTGTGTGTGTGTGTGTATGTGTGTGTGTATGTGCGTGCGAGTGTGTGTGTGTGTGTGTGTGTG